GGAGGTTGAAAGTGTAAGTACAGGTAAGTAGCTAGGCTAGGCCTAGGTAGCATATTAGCTAGGCATGGCCTAGCCTAGTCTAGTTTGGGTGGGGTGGTGGCTAGCCCTCGGCGGCCCTACCCTACGTAGGCCTAGCAATTTTGCGCCAAAGATTGCTATGAATATGATGCACAAAATCGTACCTTACTAATCTAGGCCTATACTACTTCTTAGGCCTAGCAGCAGCAGTTCTGGGGTCTACTATCTACACTACTAGGCCTAAATCTTATGCATTCGCCGTAAATGCTAATCACATGTTTCAGCTAGTATTTGCTTTGGAACCTACCAAGCATCCTCTTTTACTCCTGGGTGGAGGCAATGATAACGCCTTGCCAAATGACTAACCGTTGTCTTATAAACGCTGATACACTGAGACGCTGATACACTGAGACGCTGATACACTGGGACGTTGATACGCTGAGACAAAGATGACGTCATTGAAATTCACCGCAAAGTCATAATGCACTGAGTGGAATCGAAAGTGCAGGCCCGGTTCTCAAGTACTACGGAACGTCCGTAGTTTAAATACAGAAATTCGGCCCAATTACGGACGTACGGAAATATAGATAAATACTACGGAAATACATATAAACTACGGAAAATTACAATAGAGCCTATATTTATGGGAAAGCCCCAACATTTCACGATAATTCATAAAGTAAAATCAACGAAACAGTCTGCTAGCTCAAACAAAAGCAAGCAGAACAATACAAGCAGTGGTGTGGTGAGCGTGATGGACAATCAGAATCGTGTTTAGAGTCATGACCTTATATCCAAAGAATATAAATAGCAGAAGAATGAGCGCTTCGCGTAGTTTGCATTAAATTCGATGGAACGTCCGCCCTCTCTACGATGGCAAAATTAGTCTGAAGGTTGTTGTCTGTGATGACGCTCCAAGCTAGGCCTAGGTAGGCCCGTGTTCACGCGACGATGCTATGCAAAACTGTTAAAGTTTTAAGAAAGACTATTCGATGAGTTATTTTACAATAACATGTACAAAATAAATACATTTGAGGAGTTTAAAAACTGTCGAAATCTACTCTAGCGGAGGCTGATTATTGTGAAGAAAAATTGCCACATAGCGGTTTGTTTTGATATTATACCCACTAGCCTATATAACATTCATGTCGTGTTATTCACTTTAAATTCGGTCTATTTCATACTAAATAGAATTTAATGGAAAGGAAATGACAAATTATGACTCCACCAGTACCAAATAATTTTATCTAAGTGCCGTCTTGTTTTATAGCACAAACAGCAATCACGTCTATTTTTAATCAACACAGCTGATAAAACATTGTACAGAACATCATGGTTCCCCTGTTGTAATTTTTTGTTTAAATTCTTTGCATTGACTGGCTGCCATTGAAATTTATGTTTAAGCCAAAGCGTTCAGGGGCCTTCGACAGCCCCTGTCCTCTAGCCACTGTTTTGTCAACCCGATCTTCTCTTTGAATTTCTGAAGATTGGCAGTATTATTGTACGTTTTAAGTGAATCCAAAGAATCACTTCGTTATAATATTCTTGCAGTTTAATTATGGGTTCGACAACAATCATGAATATTAATATGTATGTGAATATTTATGATACGTTATGTTGTTAAAAAATAATTAAAAAAAAGTTAGTCCAATTGAGGGCGTAGTTTAATAATTATGGAAGGCCACATTCACATTTTTTAAACTCTCAAGTATTTATAGTTCTTCTTCAGTTTTTTGTGAAACTTGTATGATTAAAAATACTCTGTAACAGTTTCGTATTTATACTTTATCAAAATGCATTGCCATATTGGTAATTATTAGTGAACGTATCATTTGCTAATAAGTTTTGTAGAGACGAAAATGGCGTATCATGGCCTTGTGACATCACTTCTCGAGGTAAACAATCGATGGTTACAAGCGGCTAAAATCTGGTTATAAAAGTTGCTTTTTTTCCTTAAATTCCACTTGTTGTTCGACGCAACATCAAGATATGATCTTTCCAATATATAAAGGACCTATGGTATGAGTTTCGTTGAGGTAGGAGGTCCGTAATTGGGCCGAATTTCCGTAGTAACTACGGACGTTCCGTAGTACTTGAGAACCCTGCACTTTGGATTCCACTCAGTGCATATGACTTTGCGGTGAATTTCAATGACGTCATCTTTGTCTCAGCGTATCAACGTCCCAGTGTATCAGCGTCTCAGTGTATCAGCGTTTATAAGACAACGATGACTAACTGGTGTAGAATAATTGTTATACAGTATTTTCGTACAGTATAACATTGTAAATGCTTTTTTAAAATAGTCATTTTCTTGGATTTTCCTGAGCACCGACATCTGAAACCTTGCAGATAGTCATTTGCAAGATGTAACCACGTAAACGGACATGCAAATAGATACAGAGTTCTCCAACCATAGACACCAGAAAAAATATGTTGAAATACAAACTACACTAGTGAAGTTATTGAATAGCTCTTACAAGTTACTGTAACTTCGATTTTTTAATTTTATCTCAGAACCTACATAGCAGCTTTGCAAACCAGGGAGAAGAAAAAAGAAAAAAATCTTGTCAAGTCTACATTCGGTAAGATAACTTTTCAAAAAAATAATTTGTGCTTTACCCATTTATATTTTATACTTGTTGAAGTATTTCAATGCATTTATAAGCTTAATTTCCACCATTTACGTTAATACAGTATATATCAGCATTTGGGTCAGGCATTTCATGTGTTATAATATGTGAATGTTGTCTATCATTGCAGAATACACTGCGAACATAATTGAAATGGCTCTGTACATGTTAAAAAGTAATATGAAAGAGTTTTTTACACTGCTGAAATAATGTGCTATCCGTGAACAATTGCTGGGAAATTACCGAAACCAGACAAAAATCAGTTCGTGTCCACTTTACTCAGCAGATTCAACAGAAATTAAATACTGTATAGCCATACAGTAACATGACCATGTTACACTTTTTTTTTATAAGAGCCATTCAAATTATGCCCAGGCTCACTGTTATTATTTTTTGCTGATTCCAGCATTGATCTATTTCCATTTACAGAAAATTGTTATTGTACAGCAGTATATTACTGTGCTATAAACGTTATAAGATCGTTATCGTTGAAGTATAAACAGGCCTTTAATATTTGGAAAAGCTTTTGGTTTGTACCTGATTGTACTTTAAACATTTCTTATGAGGTAGTTCTTGTTATCTTGCATAGTAAAATACCTACTACATGTCTTGTGATATGTTGCCAAACTACATCTTCCACGTTGTATTAAGAAATTCTACCCACTTATTAAATGTTTCTATATCTTTTTTGAAAAGAGAACAAAAGATAGTTTCTGGTGACTAAATTGCATTCTGATGTGTTGAATTTGTGTAGAAAAAAATCATGGAAAATAATTTTATATAACCAATTATGTTATTTACTAAGATAATTCATATATAAGGGTTTTTTGAAATGATAATACTGTTAGTGCAATAAACAAGCAATTACCATTAATCATTTTTTAAACAAGTTAAATTGGATAACAATTATATTTATTATTACATGTACTAATCTTTACATTTAATGATAATAAAGCATGCTTTAGCATGAATACTGCAATCATAATCTAACTTTAAATTAGTGGTAGGTCTTCACTTTGTTTCAGTACTTAGAAAAGGTTGTCCCATTTTGTGAAAAAATAATAAGAGTTCGTCAGTGTTTAATAATATCATGAGAGTCTCTTGTAGCATGAATACTGCAATAGTAATCAAACAAGTATTTCATTAATCAAATTGTAAATGATTTTAATTGAATTGCAATTTTACAGTATATAGTACAGTAGTAATACTACTGTACTTACATTAAAAAAAAAAGACATGCATATTGTTTTTAAGGTTGTTGGACATACTGTATTACTAAAATAAATATGCTATTACGAAGCACACAAAACCTGATATAGTGTAATGCCTTAATTTTTTAAATAAATAGGTGCCTAGTATCGTCAGGAAAATTGAATCATACAATTTTACATCTTACACTGTATTGTTTGCTCTGTAATTCATAAGCTATTGGAATTATGCTTTACATAGTCTATTTTATAACCATAGTGAATGATACGCAGATTGTATAGGCCTATTTATGAACAATAAGAGACCTATATTATATAGTTGAATTGCATTGTAATTAACCAAAAATAAATTATTGTTAAAATATACAATTTTAATAGATAAAATTAATTTAACACAGACATAGTAATTCATACTGGCAATACATTAACATAGCTACAGCATGAGGAGCTTCTGGTCAAAGGAGAAGCTAAAATTCACCTGTCTGGGGAGGATATTTAAACTCTGTGTAGTTGGCAGTGGGTTCAGGAAATGCCTCATGTATGGACTTCATTACACGACATCAGCACTCGCCTGTCTTTGCCCAGATAACCCCAGCACCAACGTACAAATTGCTGATAGGCTGTATACTTGTAACGCCTGGAAAAAAAAAATTGTGAAGCAATATTAATATAGATTTTTTTTGTGCGTGAGGGGAAGAGAAAACAGGAATTAAAGCATAACTACACCTCATAAATAGTAATCAGATTTAATAAAATATTTTATTGGTCAATTCCACTTGTAAGCAGTGGGGTATTTTGCAAGACTTGCATGTACAGTAAGTGCACACACGAAGAAAAAGTAAGGTACCACCCAAAATATTAACTAATGTATGCCTAATAGAACAAAAATATAAGTTGATGTTTGCGGTACACCATATAGGCAGTTTTGAAAAGAACTGTGTAGTTAAGAAACTCTCAACGTTTTGATTGAGTTGCTTCAGTCGACTTCGGGAGAATAATACCTGCAGAAATTGCAAACAGGGAAATACTTATATGTTTGAGTAGAGAAGAACAAAAATAATTCATCTATGTATTCTTTACCTTTCGACTCCCCCTTCGGTCACAGGCTCCTGGTATTGTGAAACATATTGCCAATATGCAAACAAGGATGTGTGGTAATGCACCAATTGTGGTATGGCTCTTCATTGTTTTTTTGCATAACCTTTTCAATCTGTTAAAAAAAGATGGAGCATGAATTCATGAAAACTTAAAAAATATTTAATCTGCAATACAACACAGGTAATGTAATACACGCCTTTTCCACAGTGCAATAGTCTAGACTAGCATTGCTTTATTTACCATATGAGGCATGTTGTGGCAAAATGGCTAAGTTGTAGCAAAAATTGAAATTCAAGTTATTGGTATTTTCAGATACCTGAGTATGTGATCTTTAAAATGAGAGGTCATTCATTCAAATTGAACATTTC